CTGCGCCACCCAGGCGCCCCTAATGTTTATTTATTTTTGAGAGATAGAGCACGAACCAGGGAGGGCCAGACACAGAAGGAGACACAGAATCGGAAGCGGGCTGCAAGCTCCAGGCTCTGAGCAGTCAGGAGAGAGCTTGAGGGGGGTGGGGAAGAACTGAACTCCCTGAACTGCGAGATCATGACCTGAGCCCAAGTCAGACAACTACCTGAGCCACTGAGGCACCCCTCTGACCACCTTTGACAATTCTGCCAATAACTACAATTTCTCTCCACTGCTATCTGTGGAAATTTACACCCTACCCATGTGTTATCTCTAGAAACACTTTTGTTAATTACAACTACTTGACATTGGCAAATAAAAATGAATGCTAAGTCATTCAACAATGAGCCCTGGGGAGCTAGGGGAATTCAGACTTTCTCGGGTCCACCACTGCAAGAAGGGACCCTTCCTTACACCATCCCACCCAGAGAGACAGTCTCAAGGGCTCGGTATGGGGAGGGTGGTTTCCCCGGAAGGATCTCAGGGGCAGAAAATGGGTCCTGAAAAGGCTCAGACCCTACGCTCTGCTTCCTGTCAGGTCAGGAACGATCCTCTGCTTGTGAGGACTGCAAAGGCCACAGCGGCCCAGGGAAAGGGAGGTCTGTCACCTCTGGGGCGGGCTCCAAGCGTGGGACAGCCCGCCTGGGGCGTAGGTGGGGATTGTCCCGGGCTCTGGATCCTAGCCTATCATGCGACACTGGAGCGCTGCCACCCAGCGGGGCTCCTTCCCACAGCTGAGGGAGACGGGACCTGCAGGGTGGCGACTCAGACAGCCCAAGACCAGAAATGCACCGACTGCGGGTGGGGGGGTGACTGGGCGTCTGCGTGTGAGCGCCCACTACCCCGACTCCCTGGTTGTCACTCGGGCAGGGCCAGGGGCACAGGTAGAAAGAAAGGTGGGAAGGGGGCTCCTGAGCGCGCAGAGACCCAGAGGACTGGTTGCGGTGACCCCTGCCTCCGCACCGCGCCACCCCCCACCCCCACTCGTCCCCACGCAGCTCCTCCGGGAGGTGCCGGTTCAGTGCGCGTCTGCCCCGGGGACACGGGCGGGAGCCTGTCCCCACTCCGCCACAGCTGGGAGGCCGGCGACGCCCCATCCGCTGCCCCGCCCAGGCCCGCTCCCCGCACCCCAGGCGGGAGAGCCGGGGTAGAGGTGAGACGAGGGGGGTAGCGGCGCGGGGAGCCCGCACAGGCCCAGGCACCGTCCCCACCATTTCGGGGTCTCAGGGACCAGACGTGCGGGGACTCGTTCGCCCCTTTGCAGACGCAGCGGCTCGGAGCTCCGATGTTCCGCAGAGGGGGCACCGAGGGGAGCTTGAGCCCCCTCCAAACCCCCATCAGCTGTCCCCACCGCACGACCGCCGGGCCGGGCCGGGACGCCCCGCAAAGCGCCGCTGGACACCAGCCAACGCCCACCTCCACCCGATCGCGACCCTCCGGAGGCGTCCCGGCCACAGACTGCCCTCCGAGGCCGCGGGGCCCCACTCCCGCCCCGGCCGCGGCATCGCTGTGACCCTTCGTCAGGGTCTTCCCCGCTCTGAACCTGCTCTCCGCGTCCAGACGAAGGACACCCGGGCACAGACGGGGCGCACACACGCGGACTGAAACTTTATTTGCCCTCCCGCGCCCGGGACCCCGGACCCCGGACCCCCGACCCCGCCGCCCGCCCGGAGGCTCAGAAGATCTTCACCGACTGCAGCTGCAGGTCCCCGCCCACCTCCAGGAGGCGCACGCGCGCCGGCGGGATCCGGTAGCGGAAGTGGTGGTACTCCGAGTCGCCGACCACCGCCTGCGGGGCCGAGGGGGGCGGGGCGTCAGGGGCCGCGGGGCCCCGAGTCCCCGGGCGCGAGATGGGCCCCGACGGCCGTACCTCTTGTCGTGGTCCTCACCTGGGCCACCTGTCTGGCGCGGACGCGCGCTTAAGGCGGTGGCTGTTACGGCCCCGCCGGCGGCGTCCACGGCCTCCCTCCGGCCGCTCGCACTGAACGTGGGGAAGGGCCTGGGTGCCGGACGCTGTGCAGCGACCACTCCCCGCGGACACGCGCGTCCCGGCCCAGTCGCCCAGCCATCCTGGCCCCTGCTCCGGGACACCAGGGCCCCGCTTCCCGCTAGGGGCCACCCACCCTCTGGGCGCTGGGCTCTTGCCGCCCCGTCCCTGCCACGGCCACACCCCTGCCTTCGGGCACACGTGGGGTTGCGCCAGGGGAAGAAGAGGGACGGACCGAACGTGGGCCCCGCCTTGGCCGGGCCTTTGCTCCCCACCTCCACCAAGAGCCTTCCTGGCTTGCCTGGACTGCAGGCGGGGCGGGGGTCTGGGCGCCCGCGCCTGTGGGTGGCAGGGACTCACCTTGAACCCTTCTTCGGTGGCGATGAGGAGCACGTCGAAGGGCTGCCCATGCTGGAAGGGAATGCCTGAGCCGCGCTCCTCCCGGCCCCAGGTGCCCTGCTCCAGGCTGTTGAAGACCACCGTGGACTCGTCCAGCCGCGGGTTGAAATGGAGGGCAGCCTCCCCGCCCGGCCCCTCGCCGCACAGCAGGTTCACATAGAACCTGGTAGTGGGGGCACGGAGGAGAGGATAAAGGTCACAGGCCAAGAAGCACCCTACCAAGATCAGGGACCAATGGTCAGGACTCCCCACCGCCAGGCCGTTCCAATTCATAGGCACCGGAGGAACGTCCCATGCCACAGGGGGAAGGGTTATGGGCTGGTGGCCAGGGACCCACCCTCCAGGGCGTCCAAAAGCTCCAGGGACCCTGGACCCGCGTGCACCTACGAGGGTCACTATGCTATGGCCCCGGGTGCCCCTCATATCCAAAGCCTCTAACGTTTGCCGTGGAGTCACGATGCCGATGGCCGGGGTGCTCTCTGTTCCTAGGGCGTCCCCCTTGCCAGAGGGCTGGGCACAGCACCACGGGCCCGCACGTTTGCAGGCACCGCAGATTCCCAGGAAGCCTGCCCTTCCCAGACCCGGAAGTCCTACGACCGACCGCTTCGGCCTCCCAGTGCCCAGGGCACCTCCGGGTCGCGGGACTTCTTTCCAGGGTTCCTGGCATTCAGACTGGGAGCCATAGGACTCTAGATGGGAGCCCTGGGATGGCTCTGGAAGCCCCAGATCCCTAGGGAGACGTAGGGACCCCAGCTACACAGTCACGGGACAAGTAAGTGAAGACTTCAGATTCCAGAAGGTCAGCGATGGCCCGGGGAGTCTAAGACCCTGTGGGCCAAGGTGACTCTGGTTCCCTCGTGTCTGGGCTGCAAGAAGTCCGAGCCAGCTGAGCCTGGACACCTCCCAGCCTTACCTCTGGGGCCTGGGGTCTCACCTGGCGGCCTTTTCCGGGACGACGCCGCGAATCCTCATCACGGTGCCCACCCGGATGCCCTCGGGCAGCGACGTCTTGTGGGGCACGTTCTGCAGGTTCAGCGGCGGGGAGTCCGAGGGAACCGGGGGCGCGGACGAGAGACACACGTGGGTCGGCCCCAGGCAGAAAGCATCCGGGACCCAGATCGGCAGAATCCGTGAGAAGAAAAGGCCCAGAGACCAAGGAGAGAGAGCCAGAGCCAGACCAAGAGTGGGAGAGCCAACCACGAGGGATCAACGGAGAAAGGGAGAATCCAGAGAGGCAGATGGGAGCATGGGAATGGGTTGGGTCCACCCGGGAGCCACAGCCCAGACCCTTGGTAGCACACCCCGGCACCCACTTTGTCCTTCCCGGCGGGACACCTCAGCCAGGCCCAGCCCCTCCCCGAGTCCTGTGCCGCTTAGGGTCCAAGCCACCCCCAC